GTTAGCAAGGACACCCTAGGTATGAGAGCTCAGGAGGTGAGAAAGTTAGCAAGGACACCCTAGGTATGAGAGCTCAGGAGGTGGGAAAGTTAGCAAGGACACCCTAGGTATGAGAGCTCAGGAGGTGGGAAAGTTAGCAAGGACACCCTAGGTATGAGAGCTCAGGAGGTGGGAAAGTTAGCAGGGAACACCCTAGGTATGAGAGCTCAGGAGGTGGGAAAGTTAGCAAGGACCATGTGGCTGCTCAGCTTGCTATGATGAGATGACTTGCTGCTTAAAAAAACAACCAGCTACATAATTATGAAAAAAAACACCCAGTTACATCATTTTTTTTTACCAATCCTGTTGCTTTATGTTTTCACAGATTCAGGTTTGTTTATTTTCTCCACACAATTTACAGCTGTTCAGTGATTATTTTAATATTTTTTTTGGGGGGGTAATGTTATCTGGCTGTTTTACTTATCAGGCAACTGTGTATGGTGAGTTACAGATGTAGAGAAGACTTTAAATAACCACATAGACAGCATTAATATTGTATCTGAAATAGTGTTCTGAATAAATGGATGCCTTTTACAAAGCGGTCTGTTACGGCTACAGACCTGAAATAAAGTAAGAAAAATGTAAACATAAAAAATATGTTCTTTTAACTCATTATAAGACTTTAGAAAATTTACAGTCCAAACATTTTCTAGCCAGCTACGATAAGAAATAAAATATTGACCAAAAAATATAGTATGGCCAAGAAAGGAAATTTGAATACAGAAACATTTAAACTGCAGGAATTCCATATTATTTTCAAGTTTTTTTGTGTGTAGAATAGGACAATTTCAATATTTTGGCACTTTCTAGTTCAGTGGTTCTCAACCTGCTGGTCGCGACCTTTTTTTCTTCTTGTCAAACGACCTTTCACAGGGGTCGCCCAAGACCATCGGAAAACACATATTCATTGAAGTTATAGAGGAAAATGATTGTTTGGGGGTCGCCACAGCACGAGGGAACTGTATTAAAGGGTCGCAGCATTAGGAAGGTTGAGTGCCACTGTTCTAGTTTATTCTTTACCTTGGGCACTGCTTAGAAGAAAATTTTATGTACTGAAATGTAGTTGCATTGGTATAGCTAACTATGTATAAAAAAAAAATACATTTTAAAGAGTTATGTTTCTAATATATACAAATATTCATTATCAGCTTCCTATTTATGATGGTTCGCTTCACAGAATTTAGCCCATATGAATGCTCACACTTCCTCTAATAACAATGCAATAGTAAATTGTGCATTCATAAGTTGTAATCAGAGTGGTAAGGCAAGCGGTGCTTGTTGCCACGCAAAAAATGACAGTTTGTATATTTTTAGGCTTTTATAAATGTAGCCAACAAACTGATTTGTTTTAAAAGGTAATTTTCATTTTTCTATTGGGTTTTAACCTACTTTATGAGAGGCGCCCTGCGTGTATGTGAATATATATATTTATAAATATGTAGACTTCATATAACATATTAAAAGATCATGGTGCATCCTAGTTAAAAATCTATGCCCATTGAGTGAGAAGAAGAAAAACTATAGCCACAAATGACCAATGTCACGAGAGTAAAATAGATTAAGATTTCTGGATTATTTTCGTCTTCTTTGCGATCGGTTTTATATGCTCAGGTCATCAGTTATGTTGCCTCCATGAAGTGGCACACCAGCATTGTCTCCAAGAGTATCTCAAAGTTTGTCCTGCATATCTCATTCCTCTGGCTGCGTGTTTTCTCACAGGTTTTTATGTAGGAGAAGTTCTGCAATATGTGCCCAGGTGTTGGAGTGTTGGTTAGCAGTAACACTGGGCTGATTTTTGCAGTCTTCATTATGTGCATGTATGTGTTAAATAATTCTACAGTGTCCTATTCAAGGTTGAAGAATTTGGATGTGCTACCTTCTTTTCAGTAGCTTATTGGCTTGTCTGGATGTTTACACAAATTATTATTTGACAGAAGTAATTTTACACTTCAAAGTGATAAAATAAATCACTAATTCTAGAGAGTTCGGCAGCAGATCATCTAATGTATGAACAGTCACAATGATAAACCATGAATGTGTGACTTAAAGAGAAGCTGGATACCTAATCTTTCTCCATTGACAATGGAAGTTGCCATGGAGAAAGGCAGGTTTTTAAGCTGTTTTTCAACAACCTGATGTACCAATTTCTTATCAGCAGAAGAAGAGAATAATCAAATCAATCAGAAAGGCACCAAAACTGGCACAGGATGATTACCATTTTATGGGCAGACCAGAGCAAGTTATTATTCTATGCCTTAGAACAGGACACAATCGACTTCGTAGCCACATGCACACAGAATTTAAAATCGGCGAATCAGCCATGTGCGCATGTGGATTGGCACCTGAGACAACAGATCATGTCCTCCAAGACTGTCCCAAATACAACATATCAAGGCAAAACTTGTGGCTAAAAGAAACATCAGTGCAAGTCAAACTTTACGAGTTGCTGAGTGAATTACAAAGACAGCGAAGTTCATACTAGAGACAACATTGTAGAAATAGATAATTTATTTCAAGCGAATGAAAGAAGAACAAGTAAACAAAAATACTACACCTAAAATAAAATAATAATAAAAAACACATAACCTGAGAAGGGGAAAGCTAGAATATGTCATGACAACAGGAAAGTTGTTTGGAAAATTTATGGGAAAATCAAAAAAGAAAATATTGAACAGATTGCCATCTTGGCATAGAAGAACATCTGTATCAGAAGAAGTTGATCAAACACGAGACAAATGGCTGCGGTCGGATATGATTATTCTCTGTACAGGTTCCAGGGCCCCATTGTGGGAGGAAAAAGAATAGACCCACTGCCCCTAACTAGTGTGTCGTAAAAGTTGACCAGTTAGGGGTGTTTCCTTCAGAGTTCTGCCAGATCTGTCAAATGGATGCGCATGCAAAACTCAAGTTCCAGAGAAAAGATTGAAGTCCAGAAGTGGGCAAACAACCAGAAATTCCTGCCGGAATTATATGACAATATGATTACCAGAGCTGTTTGACATGGGTTATAATGGAGGAAAAGATGGTTTTGAGTTTAGAATTTGCAGACGGCACATCATTGGCACTACACTAAAGTCACATAAGTGCCAGATCCTTGTTTTGAAAAAAAAAAAATGCTTGAACATTGAAATATCTGAAAATTATGTAGTTGCATGAAAAGTAACACTTTGTTTTTATAATCTGGAAAATAAATTTACATGTATGCTTTTGCTTTTTTGTAAAGTGGCCTGATCTGTGTAATTTAGGTAATTGTGGAATATGGCAAAGTGACCTGCTCTGTGTGACTCAGGTGATCGTGTGAGATGGCAAAATGACATTCTGAGCTTACCAGCACAGCACATGATAATGATGATAGCGACAAATAATAGCCCTGAAAATACACATAAGTGAAAATCTCTCGAATTGCGGTTAGGTGACTTTGACATAGTACTAACTTCATCATGTTTCATTGCTTGGGTTGATAGAGTTCAGAATGTTGCAATACCAAGGAATGGATGAGGATGTGAGCTATCTCTGCTTTCAAAACAAATGTCAACAAAATGTTGGATTGCATCGAAAACTTCACTGGCTGAAAAAAACAGGAGAAAAGTCAAGTCAGAATTTAAGACTGTCATATTTTTATACACATGTGTTAGGTTGATTTTCTTTTATAAGTCTGTTTACACCAGTAGTGTTTGATTAGTATTAAAGGGAACGTATGTTAACTTTGAAAAGAAACCTGGGCTCGAGCAGAGTGTGCAGAGCAAGCTGTGGGAAACCACAAAGGACCTGCTGCTGACATGCAAGTTCATAGAGGCAACCCACCTGAAGGTCTGACCTGAGCATACGAAACCATTTGCAAAGAAGAAGAAGAAAATCATACGTTGGAAATCTGAATGCTGTGAAAATGGCACATGGCCATTTCAAATGTGTAGGTATTTGTAAATAATATCATTGTAAAAATTTTTCTTCAGTTATCGACTGTTTAATAATCCTATCAGCATTAAGTGATTTGTCATTAGAAAATTTCTTGTAGTTGTCTTGAATATTTGTAAGTTGATATTGTTTGGAGGAAAATATTTGTTTTTTATATTGTTGTTTCTAAATTTAACTGGTTGTTTGCTAAACAGGTCATCAGTATTCATTAGTTAATAAAGATTGTTTTGATTTCATTTTTCCCCATAACTAGTGTCCATAGTTGTGTCTAGCTGTTTGTTTGCTAGTCCCATCATACTTAGGACCAGCATTTTATGAATTCATCACTCAATACTTCTTCTTTGGAATTTTCCTTCCACAGAGAAAATTTCCTCCTAAGCATGTGGACTTTCTGCTTGATGCTCCCATTTTCTCAGACCCGAATTTCTCAAAGATAGCAGTTTGGCAAATTGTTTCTTTTACCACATAGTTTATCTTTCAGGAATTGTGAATACTGTTGCCTCAGTTTTTGGTTCACCCATGCCAGCCACATTTTACCTTTATTACACCTTTTTAACAGTAATCATTCTTTTTTTTTTTCTTTTTTTTTTACATAAGGGCATGGATGTATCTTATGGTTTTGGTTATACTTGGTCGCACACTGCCTTGATTTAACTTGACTTATGTGCTTCACTGGAAATTTTCTTCACTAGGAATTTTTGTGTGTGTAGGCCTCAAAAGGACGGTTGGTACATGCTGTGTTAAGGTTTATAGCTGTGTTGAGGTTTATAGCTGTGTTGAGGTTTATAGCTATGTTGAGGTTTATAGCTGTGTTGAGGTTTATAGCTATGTTGAGGTTTATAGCTGCTGTGTTAAGGTTTATAGCTCTGTTGAGGTTTATAGCTATGTTGAGGTTTATAGCTGTGTTGAGGTTTATAGCTATGTTGAGGTTTATAGCTATGTTGAGGTTTATAGCTGTGTTGAGGTTTATAGCCCTGTTGAGGTTTATAGCTATGTTGAGGTTTATAGCGGTGTTGAGGTTTATAGCTGTGTTGAGGTTTATAGCTATGTTGAGGTTTAAAGCCGTGTTAAGGTTTATAGCTGTGTTGAGGTTTATAGCTGTGTTGAGGTTTATAGCTATGTTGAGGTTTAAAGCCGTGTTAAGGTTTATAGCTGTGTTGAGGTTTATAGCTATGTTGAGGTTTATAGCTGTGTTGAGGTTTATAGCTATGTTGAGGTTTATAGCTGTGTTGAGGTTTATAGCTGTGTTGAGGTTTATAGCTATGTTAAGGTTTATATGTTGAGGTTTATAGCTGTGTTGAGGTTTATAGCTGTGTTGAGGTTTATAGCTATGTTGAGGTTTATAGCTGTGTTGAGGTTTATAGCTGTGTTGAGGTTTATAGCTGTGTTGAGGTTTATAGCTGTGTTGAGGTTTATAGCTGTGTTGAGGTTTATAGCTGTGTTGAGGTTTATAGCCGTGTTGAGGTTTATAGCCCTGTTGAGGTTTATAGCCCTGTTGAGGTTTATAGCTGTGTTGAGGTTTATAGCCGTGTTGAGGTTTATAGCCCTGTTGAGGTTTATAGCCCTGTTGCAATATCCGCACCTTTTTTTCCCCAGTATGTAAGATTTTAGCAAAACCTGTCACAATACATTTACAGTGAAAGTGAGCTGTCTTAGAACTTTCACAACTGTCATGGCATTTATAATTCAAGTAACCTGTTTTATGTTTAAATTGATCATGAGCTGCATGATACTAAAGTTGCAAGACTTGCTGGCATTCGCACACATGCACGCACACTCTAAATGTTTTATTATTCACAGATACACACAAGTGAACACTCTAAATGTTTTGTCATTCACACACATATACACAGACAAGTAAACAATCTAAATGTTTTATCATTCACACACACACAAGCGAACACTCTAAATGTTTTGTCATTCACACACATATACACAGACAAGTGAACACTCTAAATGTTTTGTCATTCACACACATATACACAGACAAGTAAACAATCTAAATGTTTTATCATTCACACACACACAAGCGAACACTCTAAATGTTTTGTCATTCACACACATATACACAGACAAGTAAACAGTCTAAATATTTTGTCATTCACACTCACACAAGCAAACACTCTAAATGTTTTATCATTCACACACATTCACACAAGCGAACACCCTGCATATTGTTTTGTCATTCACACACTTTCACACACACATAAGCGAATACTCAAAATGTTTTGTCTTTCTCTCACACACAGGTGCATGGTGCGCTAACACTCTAAATGTTTTATGGCGGTTCGCTTGTAACCCTGTTCCCCTGAGAAATCCGTTTTTCTGGCTTTTATGGGCTCTGGTTTCACAGTACCCAGTACTCCTGTGTGACAGCTTTGGTACTGGTGGCATATGCATAGTGTGTAGACGTGGTGGGTGTGATCATATTTACAGAACTGAAATTTGTTAGATATTATTTGGGGGTGAAAAAAAATTGATTTTTAAAAACTGTGGAGACACCATGCAGTGCTTTAATATAATAGGAGATTGCTCTGTGTAACAAAGGTACCAAAACCACTTTTAAATGAACAGAGGAAATTAAATCAGTTGACTCTTTGCTCAGTTTATTTAGTGATAACTTCCTTTCACACAGAAATCAAGATATTCTAGGTTTATAAATGTAGCAACTGGAACATTTTTTTAAAAGGGATGTGAAGAGAAGCCTATCTTCTCGGTAGTCCCAGTGTTCAATACCCTGTATATTTATAAAAACTGGCCAAGACTATAAATATCTTCTGCTTCTTCTTCTCTTCTAATTTCTTTGGGTAGAGTTTCAGAGGATTGTAAGGATATATGTGTTTGAGAAAAGGGTCAGTTGTATTGTTCTTATGGGGGTGAAAGGGTAAGCTCATAGAATTGTATTATGTTGCCTTCTCAAGAATTCATATTGTTACACTTCAAGTCAGGAGGACCAACTTAACTGGATCAGTTTCCTCCCAGATGGCTTGGTCTCACTCCTTAGAATTGCTTAAAAAACTCTGTAGCTGCAGTGATGATTCCCCCAAAGATCTCCTTAGAAACTTCTCTAGTGAACTGAATAATGAGCCTGTGAACCCATGACCTTTAGAACAAGTGGCTTGACCACTTTGCCACGGAGACCCTTCCAAATTATTGTCATTTTGGGCTTCAATTTTATCAGATAGATTTTCTTCAGTTAGCATGTTACAATTCATTCATTTCCTGTGTCTGCCATAAGTCAAGATGAAAGTGCAGATAAAGGGGATCAATACTAAGAAATTCTTTACAGGAAGTCCTGCACAAATTAATTGTATTTTAAAAAAAAGGAAAGAAACAAAACAATATTCATAATTGACCAAACACTAAAAAAAAAAATCTCATGATTAAAAAAAAAAGTTTAAAACAAAGTAAAGATCCATTTTCACGCCTTAGGCATAAGGAAAGAGTCCCATATTTTTATAGACCAATCGGCACTGGGTGGGTAATGTGGTCAGCATTACGCCGGCCGTCTTTACTTTCCCAGGACAGCCATCCTGATACCCATTTTAGGCTGGGTCTACCTGCAACGCCCCATACCATGATAAAAATCCATGCAGCCAGCAGTGGGTTTCGATCGCGGTACGTTGGAATTACAAGTCGGACTCGCAACGCCTTAGCCACGGACGTCGCCTCATGATGAAAAAAGCACGTTTTAATAACTGTACTGTTTTTTGTTTCATACAGTATGAGTATCTGGGGTTTTTTTTTTTTTTTCTGTCAGGGATCGCTTTCAGAGGAATCTTCATGATGTAGCAGCTAGACTCTCGAGCCCGAAGGTTTTAGGTTCAAATCCACATCGGGCCAGATTTTTTTTCTTCAAACATGGCCTTGGCTCCCAGGTCAGCCCAGCCTAAAATGGGCACCAGGAAAAGTCCTAGGAAGTAAAGGCAGCTGACCACATCACCTATTGAGTGCCGATTGATCTATAAAATATATATCTAGCTCCATCTACCCATTAGGCCTAATGGTTTGGAACGGTGTCCTTTATTGCTTTCATTGCACAAGATTCTGCAGTGTTCCAGTTGATTCCCATAGACTGTACACATGTAATCTCAGCCTAGTACACGAACTTGGGCAGCAATATATTTGGTATGCTGGTTTTTATTTAACCGCACCTTCGCCTTCAGGATTTCATTCTGAAGGATTAACATTTCATGGATGAGAATCAAACGGCTGCAAATCCCAGAAACCCACATTCAGCTGGTTAACACGGGTACCTTGCGGTTAACAGAGTAACATGTAGTCCAGCGTGGGTTGATTAGACTTATGTATTTATTTCCGAATGCCAAAATTATTTATAATATGCATATAGTCTCGTGTATTTGGTCATCATCTGAAAATAGTAGTCATAACTCTAGGATCGGTAGCAAGTGTGTTTGTGTGGGGGAAGGGGGGGGGGGGGAGATACAATGATTTCCTCATTTTGTACAAATTCACACAGTCCATGCTGTGAAACTAACTACATGTGTGTGAGCCAAAGGTGAGCTATGTCATCTTTGAGCTACTTCAAGATTAACTTAGGTGCTGTGTTAGTGTTAACCTGGAAGACAAGACAGAGACTGAGGCATGACGATGAGAACTTGGAATATTATAGACGCTTTGAGCATGACAATGGGGCCAAGGGACTTCCTGGTGGAAAATGGTGAGAACATTTTTCTGCAAATGATTTGCTACACGATGAACAAACAAACCAGTGATCTTCATTTTCAGTGGGTCACAAATTGGGCACGTAGACACGTCTTACATGTGGCCCTTCCAAACACTCATAATTCAGACAGCACTTGCAGTTTATCTCTAACGCATGTTATGTTTATAAAAAAAAAAATTAAGTAATATGAATATTAAAGTAAGATACACAGTGGCATGGTTGGTATAAGAATACATGTATATGTAAATACATACATACATACCCGCACTCTACATACCCATGCTCATATACACACACACTCATACATACCCCTGCTCACACGCATACACACCCATGCTCATACACCCACACTCATCTTCACATACATACATACATACATACACACTCATGCTCATACACCCACACTCATGCCCACATGCATGCACAGCCATGCTGATACACCCACACTCATGCTCACACGGGCTCATACACCCACACTCATACACACTTATGCTCACACACACACACACCCATACTCAAACACACCTACACTCATTCACCCACACTCATACCAACCCATGCTGATACACCCACGCTCATACACATCTATGCTCAAACACACTCACACTTACACACTCATGCTCATACAGTCATACTTATCCACACTTACACACAGCCATGCTCATACACCCACACACATACACATCCATGTTGATACACCCACACACATACACACCCATGCTGATACACTCACACTTATACACCCCTTGCTCATACACACCCATGCTCCTACATCCACACTCAGACACGTCTATAATTATGATGAGCTAGCACAATGGATACTGTGCAGGCCAGTTAAGTTTTGCTGACCTACACGTCACTACTGCAGCTCATGTTTATTATCATGTGACAGTATCATGTGTCTCCATGCACAAAAAGTTTCTATGTTCTTCATGAGTTTGACTAGTGATTGTCTTCCATGCCACTTTGCCAATCCATCCAGCATTTTCTCCCTATGCCAGACCTCTGTCTCTGTTGCCGTAAATATTTCCAGTTGTTGCGATGTTCTACAGAACTAGTTTATCCACATTTAAAATAAATGTATCACACCCCTCTGATTGTATCGACTATTTTAGTATGACCTCTTAATACATACAATAAATTGTTAAGAGATATTTCACAAAGTTATCCTTTTGTTGAAGTTCTACGTAACTTTATTTGCTATCGAATAAGTTCTCCTATCTGTACCATGTCAATCATTCTGTCCATAATGGAAACATTCTGGTCATAGTAACATTTTGATAGCATACTTGCCTTGAGCATAAAACTTTATAACTGCACCTTTCTTGTCAACTTAGACCTAGCGACATTCAACAACAAAATTTAATTAATAAAAATAGTAAATAACAAAAGATAACTACATTGGTAGTGTCAAAAGTTCCTAGGACTGATGCTTAGATCACAGCAGGGTGTAGACATAAGAGTCTTGTTTTTATGTACATTTTTGCATAACCCTTGTGAATAAAAATAATGTTGAAATGTGTAAATTCGACTTACAACCTGTTCAGTTAGGGCCTGTTAGAACAGAACTCAGGTATAAGTCGAGAAAACCCTGTACTTGTGGAAAAATATTTTTCTGGGAAACAGTGGCAGGCACAAGTTGGTCAAGATAAAGAAAATGTAGGTGATATAAAGACAGACTGTAGTTTTGCCACACCTTTGCTGAAGACAGGAAACCGTGGATGATTTTGGTGTTGAACACACCCATCATGACACCATCACTGCCCATGTAGGACAAATAAATTGGATTTAAAGCTGAGAGGATCAACCTTTTTTTGCCAGACTGGATCCCATAAGGGTTGGTATTTCTCCTCCGCAGAGTGGCTGGCTGCCAGTTAGAGTGTTGCACAAAACTCAAGCATTGACCTCTGGAGATC